GCATTCCATAGCAAAGCCTGGGATGTGTGGGCCCTCTCCAAGGGCCGATCCCAAACCCTGGGGAAGCCCCACATTCCAAAGGCTCCGGCACAGGGACAAATCCCTGTCTCCAAACCCCTTCCTGCCCTGTGCAGCCCCCCAGGAGGATTCACACCGTGCTGATCCCATCCTGTTCCATTCCTCATTGCGCTTCTCCACATTTCTTTCCCCTGTCCCAGGATGAGGGAGGCCTCCTCACGTCCCAAGCGGGAATACAAACCCAAGCCCAGGGAGACGTACGACTTCAGGGAGACTGACCAGTCCAACGGGGGCTTCTCCTGCAACCCCACCCCCAAAGTCTCAGGTAACGCTGTCCCAGGTGTTCCCTGCTGCCTCTGGAGGAGCCTCCCAGGGAAGGAGGGCAGCTGCTCTGCCTGCACAGGATGTTCCTGCTGTGCTGGATGCTCCTGTGGCTCTGGAAAACATCAGGAATGTCTCTGGATCGGGCTCTTTTCTCCTGGGACCAGGAGCCTTTTGCTGAGTTGGCTTTGGGGATGTGCCAGAGGGGTCTCCAGCCTGGGCCTCTCGCTGTCAGTGCCAGACAGGAAAACTGAAGCCTCCCTCCCTCCCTCCTTGTCTTCCATCCCGCTGCATCCCTCCCTCCCTCCCTGATCCCGGCGGGTTCCTAACAGCATGGGGGCCCTGCTGTTTCTCCTAACAGATCCCTGCCTGTCCCTGCCTCCCGTTCCCGTTGGTTTAAGCATGTCTCTCTTTTGTTTGGAAGCAGCTTCCGCCTCTTTCCGGTCGGACAAGCCGTCCCGGGCCTCCGTCAGGAGTATCCGTGAGTTCCTCCCTCTGCACTGCTCCGTGTGTGGCCTCCTCTCCCCATCCCTCTGCCTGCTCCTCCCTCCTGCTGCTGCTGCTCCTTGGAGCTGCTCATCCCTCCGTGCTGAGCCTGAGCTGAGCCCCGAATTAACCCAGCCACGCTCCAGTGGGATTTTCCACCCCCAAAAGCAAGGCCTGGCTCACCTGGAGGAGCTGCAGCAGCTCCGGCACCCAGGCATGTCCTGATCCCTCGGGATCAGCTGCTTTCCCGTGAGACATGAGGCACCTCAAGGATTTCCCTGTTCTTACAAGCACCCAGCCTGGATCTCTCCCACTCCTGCTCCCCGTGTCCCTCTGGAAGGCTGGAGGGAGGAGGCAGAACCTCAGCTGATGGAGTTTGTGGGGTGTGGTCCCAGCTGGGCCCCAGAGGGGTTGTGGGGTGATGTGGGGTCCGTGGTTCCTCCTGCAGGACCTTGGGATGCTGGGCTGGGCTGGGGCTTGGAGCTGTTGTGCTGGGAAGGAGCCTGGAGCAGGGCCATGGTGGTGGGACCAGCCTGGTGATTTGGGGAGTTCTTGCAAACCCATCGATGTGTGGCTGCTGCTTGTGGTGATTTCTGAGTGCTCTTCTCGTGCTGGGCCCTCCCTTGCCGTGGGTCCTGGAATCATGGAATGCTTTGGCTTGGGAGGGACCTTCAAGATCATCTCATTCCACCCCCTGCCATGGCAGGGACACCTCCCACTGTCCCAGGCTGCTCCAAGGCCTGTCCAACCTGGCCTTGGACACTTCCAGGGATATTCAGCAGCTGGATGTGCCCTTGCTGCCATTCCCTTGCCCTGGCTGGGAGAGCCCCAGCACAGTGGGAAGGGCTGGGGGGGTCCTGCAGGCTCTGGAGATCTCTCTTAGCTCTGTCCCTGTCCACTGGGATCCTCCCAGCTCCAAAGCTGAGTCCCAAATGTCAGCACACAGCAGGAAATCCCACAGAAAATCCCTTTGCAGCCAAAAGGTGATGCTTAAATCCTGGAGCTGAGCTGTGGGAATGAGATTTCGGGCTTCTCCTGAGTTTTGAGGGGCTGCTCATGGATTTGAAGCCCCGTGACCCCTCCAGAGTCCCCCTCCACGTCCAAGCCCACCAGCGAGGTTCAGGGCAGGGTCTCAGCTCTCAGGAGGGATAAGGTGGCTTGTCAGTGATGCTGCTGAGGTTGGAACGCAGGAGTGCAGGCAGGAGCAGTGCAGGGCTGCTGGAGCCAGCCCTGCCAGCCCAGGCAGGGTGCAGAGCCCGTGGCAGGAGTCCCAGTGCCAGGGCAGGGCTGTGTGGGGTCCTGCTGACGTGTCCCCACTATCCCTGCAGCCCCCCTGGACCAGCCCTGCTGCAAAGCCCTCTACGACTTCGAGCCCGAGAACGACGGCGAGCTGGGCTTCAAGGAGGGCGACATCATCACCCTGACCAACCAGATCGACGAGAACTGGTACGAGGGGATGATCCACGGCCAGTCCGGCTTCTTCCCGCTCAACTACGTGGAAGTGCTGGTCCCGCTACCTCAGTGAAAGGCGCCGCTCCGCCCCGAGGGCCCCGAGCTCCATTCCAGCTCCTGCCCGCCCTCCCCGCCTCCCTCGGGGCCGGGCGCTACCAGGGAACAAACCAGAAGGGTCCCACGGCCCCTTCCCCCCGTGAATTTGGGTTGTTTTGTTTTTTTCTTTGTCCTTCTGGTGCTTGAACTTCGGTACTTTGTGCGCCCCAAGCCCTGGCCGTGCTGCCAGCACTGCCCTGTCCCTGTCCTTGTCCCTGTCCTTGTCCCTGTCCCCACCTCCCGTCTTTCCTTTGGGTCCAGCGCCTGGTGAGGCAGGTGGGAGAGCCAGGATGTGTCCTGGACACACGGATGAGACTGGGATGTGCCCTGGACACACAGAAAACTGGGATGTGTCCCTGGACACATGGATCAGGCAGGTGACAGAGCCAGGATGTGTCCTGGATACATGGATGAGACTGGGATGTGTCCTGGACACACAGATAACTGGGATGTGCCCTGGACACACAGATGAGACTGGGATGTGCCCTGGACACACGGATGGGATTGGGATGTGCCCTGGACACATGGATGAGACTGGGACGTGTCCTGGACACACAGATAACTGGGATGTGTCCTGGACACACAGCCCCAGCCCCACCCTCCCGCCCCAGCAAACACTGTCCCTGTCCCCACAGATCCCCCCAAGGGATCCCAGAGGGATCAGGGGAGGGGGAGCTGGGGCACAGCAACACTAAAACACTCAGAGAACACTAAGGCAGCCCTGCAGGGCAGGTGCTGAGCCCTGCCTGGGGCTTGGAGCCATCCCTGTCCATCCTGGAGGGACAGTAGGGATGTCCCCTGCCCGCCTGGCCCCCTCCCCACAGAGCTCAACCCCGTGATGGGGGGCTGCTTCTTCTGCCCCTGTTTTTTCCTGGACCTCAGGCTTTTCCTGCTGCAAACTCCCCCAAAGTCAGTCACACCTGGAGGATCACCTGGAGCTGGGCTACAGCCCGGGGTGTCAGTGGTGGGGCAGAGGTCGTGGCTCCTCTGGCCTTTCCCCCTTCCCGGGGATCCCTCCTGCAGCCGGAGCTCACCTGGCCCTCACTGTGCCCTCCCTGGGGGCAGCGCACCCCTCTGCCCCTGGGAGCAGGGATGGTTCCTCTCGGTGGCACTTCTGTCCCCTCTTCTCCCTGAGCTGTGCTTTTCCTGGCCAGGAGCTGGGCATGGGCTTGGCACGGAGCGCTTGCTGGGCTCCGTGCTTCTCCTTGCTCCAAAAGTGGGTTCTTCCCCTCGTGGGGCTGGGACGGGCCCCAGCCCTGCTCTGGGAGCCCCAAATCTGTGCAGGGCTGTGCTGCAGCACCCCTGTCCCAGCTCTGGGAGCCCCAGGGCTGTGCTGCAGCACCCCTGTCCCTGCTCTGGGAGCCCCAAATCTGTGCAGGGCTGTCCTGCAGCACCCCAGCCCTGCTCTGGGAGCCCCAAATCTGTGCAGGGCTGTGCTGCAGCACCCCAGCCCTGCTCTGGGAGCCCCAGATCTGTGCTGCAGCACCCCTGTCCCAGCTCTGGGAGCCCCAGGGCTGTGCTGCAGCACCCCAACCCTGCTCTGGGAGCCCCAGATCTGTGCAGGGCTGTGCTGCAGCACCCCAGCCCTGCTCTGGGAGCCCCAGGGCTGTGCTGCAGCACCCCTGTGCTCTGTGAACCCCAGATCTGTGCAGGGCTGTCCTGCAGCACCCCAGCCCTGCTGCTCCCAGCCCCTGCTCCCCTTCTCTGTCAGGATTTGATCCGTGCATGTCCACACGTGTCCGACCCCCGCGCCCCAACCAGTGACCCCGGCCCCAGGGGGGCACAGGGCAGCCCCCCCTGCTCCCAGCAGGGCAGGGAGAGAGGGACCGGGGTCCTGGGGTGTCCCCTCCCCGGTGGGACCAGGGTCACGTCCCGGGGACACCGGCTCCCGCTCAGGTGGATGGAAACGCGTTCTGTCAGCTGGGACACCTCGCTAGATCTTTTGGGTTGTTTGTTTTGGTTTTTGGTTTTTTTTGTTTGTTTTTTTTTTTTTGTAATGGTTTCTCCTGGTTTTTAGGGGGAAAAAAAAATGATGACCCACAATTCTTGACTTGTATCTCTGAATGAAAGTATTAAATGTTTTCTTCTTTCTAACGGCTGCGTCGTGGAATTAGGGAATGGCTCAGATGGGATCTGGAAGGTCATGGGCAGGGACACCTCCCACTGTCCCAGGCTGCTCCAAACCCTGTCCAGCCTGGCCTTGGACACTTCCAGAGATCCAGGGGCAGCTCAGCTGCTCTGGGCACCTGTGCCAGGGAGGAATCCCCTCCCATCCCCTCAGGATGTCCCCAGCCAGCAGAGCCGCCTCTCAGGAACTGCTCTTTAATCAAACTACCACTTCCACAAGCCACTGAGCCACAGACTGCCGCCCCGGCACGGCCGCCCCGGGGCCGGCGGGGTCGCGGGGGGCTCCGGGAGCTGCCCCGCAGCGGGTCCGGTGAGCCCCGGGGCTGAGCCCCGCCCGGGCTGCGGGAGGCGCCTGGTCCGAGTCGAGGGGCCCCGGGCCCTCACCCACTGAGCTTGAGGAGGCTGAAGATCTGCTCCAGGACGTGGGTGAAGCTCTGGTCTTTTGGGGTGCGGGAGGCCAGGGAGCCCTGCAGAGGGGGAGCCCCCAGTTCATTCCAGCACGGGGAATGGGTGCCCCACAAAACCCCCTCCCTTCGCAGCCCTTCCCACCTTCAGCTTGTCCAGGTAGGTCTGATCCTGACTCCACAGCTCCTGGAACTTCACCAGGTCGGGGGCTCCCTTATAGAACTCCACCAGCAGCGTCTGGGGGGGCACAGAGGGGCTGCAGCCCTGGGGGTGCCCCAAAGCCACCAGCGGCACCCCAAACCTGCCCCACCGAGACCTCGGTGGGCTGTCACCGTCACCAGGGCTAAGGGCAGGATGGGGACAATGGTGGGGTGCCAGCCTGCCCCCAACGGGCTCAGGGGGTTTTGGGGGGCCCCCACCCCTCTCTCACCATCTCCTGCACGACGTCGTTGGTGAGGAACCCGTCCTGGATGTAGGTGACCTCCACATCCATGGGGATCCCGTAGTCGTTGGGCCGCTGCTGGAGGGGGAGGGAGCCGGGCAGGGGTCACTCCACAGCTCTGGGACCTGACACCACCCCGAGGGGCACCCGAGGGCGCCGGGTGGGGGGACCCCACCCCAAATTCTCCCCCACTTACCTCTGGCGGCGGCATCACCCAGAAGGGCGCGATTTTGGACTCCACGCCGGGGTTGCCGTGGTAGAAGGGCCCTGTGGGGACAGAGGGGGCTGGCACAGGGGGGTGACAGCAGCCTCAGCCCCCTGGGACCCCCAGGGGTGGGCACCTACCGCAGATGAGCCCCAGGCAGGGCTGGAAGCCGTTGCCGCTGCCCTGCAGCTTGAGCTGATAATCCATCTGCGCGTCGATGTCGTGCAGGGACGGCAGCGCGGGCCCGAAGGGGTGGCTGTGGTACCACCCCACCAGCGACAGCCCCCGCAGGAACAGGCTCTGGCAGATCTGGAGGGGCACAAACCGTGGGTCCAGACCCTCCAGAGCCCCCTGCCCGCCCCCCGGGCTGGATCACCCCCTCACCTCTTCCTCCACGGCACCCGCGGCTTCGGCATCGCCCAGGCGGGTCCGGCACGGGAAGGCTCGAAGCACCGTCAGCACTGCGGGGACACGGGGCTGGGTGACACTCCCGAGCCACGGCAGAGCCACCCCCACCCCCCCAAACCCCACCTACACTGGGTGTTGGTGTCCCACCGCCCCCCCAGGTACCCCACCACTTCGCTCCGCGTCAGGTGGCTGTGGAAATCCTAAAGGAAAAGGTTAAAAATCAACGGTTTAGCACTACAAGGATGACACGAGGGGACACCCCGCTCGCTGCAGGTGTCCCCAGTGCCATCAGCGATGTCCCAGCCTGGGGAGGGGACGCACCAGGAGCAGGAGGACGTTGCTGGAGATGGCCACGTTGAAGGGCTGGAATTTGTTGATGGCAGCGAAGGACGTCACCTCCACCAGGGTCTGGGGGTTCCTGGAAGAGGCACAATCCCGCTGTCACCGCTGTCCCCTCCCCTGCTGCGCCCCGGGGTGCCGGTGCCCCCTACCTGGCCGAGTCGCGGGTGCCCAGGGTGCAGTAGCGGACGGGCACCCGGGGTTTTGTCTCCATCCTTTTCCCTGCGGCACCGACATCTGCCAAGGACACGGTCCCGTCACCGCGGCCGGGCTGCCCGGTACCCCCGGCACCCCCACGGCAGCTCACCCGTCCCCGCCGGCTCCGCCAGGCTCCTGCCCTGCTGCTTCTTGCTCCTCTCCTCCGCTTTTTTGGGAGCCGCCGGCTCCGGCATCGCCACCCGACCCTCCCTGGCCGCTTCCTCCTCCTCATCCTCGGGCATCTCCTCCTCCTCGCCCTCGCTGGCCAAGCTCTGCGAGCAGACGGGGCTGGCACCCACCTCGCCCCCTGCCCTGGGGGTGCCACGGGGAGGTGACGGCGGTCCCACCTCCTCGGGGGGTGGCACGTTGGGCTGGTGTTTGCGCAGCCAGGCGGCCTTGTACTGGTCCAGCTTCTGGCCCTTGTAGCGCACGGACGCCCAGCCGCACCCCGACTTCTTGGCGGGGTTCACCAGGCGCTTGCAGTGCGTGGCCCAGGCGCTCGGGGAGTTGAACACCTGCCCCGTCTCCTGCCACGTAATTGTCCCGTCCGAGCCCAGGTCCCCCACGAACTTCTTGCCCTGGGGACAATGGCGGGAGTCGCGTCCCCTTGTCCTCAGCGCTTCTCCCTCAGCCCCATCGCTGTCCCACCTTCGCCGTCTGCGTCTCTTGTGCTCACCCGCATCCCCAGTCCTCGTCCTGGGTCCCGTTTCCCGTCCTTTTCCCTGTCCCATGTGTCCTGTGCTGTGTCTGTTTCTTGTCCCCAGCCATATTCCCAGTCCCTATCCCTGTCCCCTGTCCCCATCCCTGTCCCCTGTCCCCATCTCTATTCTCAGTCCCCATCCCTCTCCCCTGTCTCCATCCCTCTCCCTGTCCCGATCATCTCTCCCCTGTCCCCGTGCCATGTCCCCTGTCCCCACCCCTGTCCCCATCCCTGTCCCCAGTCCCCATCACTATTCCCTGTTCAAATACCCTCTCCCCTATCCCCATCCCTCTCCCCTGTCCCCATGCCCTGTCCCCTGTCCCCCGTGCCCTGTCCCTGTGCCCTGTCCCCTGTCCCCGTGCCCTGTCCCCTGTCCCTGTGCCGTGTCCCCTGTTCCCATCCCTGTCCCTGTCCCCTATCCCCCGTGCCCTGTCCCCTGTCCCTGTCCCCTGTCCCCGTGCCCCGTCCCCATCCCCTGTCCCCATGCCCTGTGCCGACGCTCACCAGGTAGTAGATGGACAGGACGCCTCTGCCCGGCTCCAGGAGCCCGTCCCGCAGCAGGACCCTCAGGGTGATGCCCCTGCGGGTCAGCAGCGCCCCCCGGGCCGCCCCCGCCGCCTTCGCGCCGCTCCCGGCCCCGGGCTCGGCCTCGGCCTCGTCCAGCCCCGGCTCCAGCTCCTCCTCATCCTCCTCCGGACACTCGTCCCCGCCGGGGGAGGCGGCGGCCAGAGCTGCGGGGGGGGGGACACCGTGTGACAGCACCCCTGGGTGTCCCCCAGAGCACCCTTGGGTCCCCCCCATGGTTTCTGCCTCCTGCGGAGGGGGACACGGGGACAGGGATGCACAGGGAGGTGGGGACGGGAGGAGGTGGACATGGGGACATGGGGACACGGAGAGGCTGGAGGAAGGCTCGGGGATGGGAGTGGGGGACACTGAGGTGGGGACACGGGGGGTGAGGGCACAGGAGGGTGACAATACGGGACTGCGGGCACGGGGACACGGCTGGCGGGCACAGGACCGGGCTGAGGGACATGGGGACATGGGGACACGGCTGGGGGACACGGGGACACGGTGGGGGGACATGGCCAGGGGACACGGGGACACGGGGCTGAATCTCCTCTGGGGTGACACACGACAACTCCCCGGGGGGAGAGAGGCGCCCCCGCCCCGCCCCCGCTCCGCTCCTGCCCCAGGGGTGTCCCGGGGTGTCCCGGGATGTCCCCAGCGCGGTCCCGCGGGTGCGCGCTCGGGCAGGTGCACGCGCGTTCCCGGGGGGGGGGGGAGCGAGTGACCGGTGCGCGTCCCCGGCCGGGGCGCGTGTCCGTGCGCGCGTGTCCGCTTCCCGGTGCGCTCCCGGTGCGTGTCCGGTAGCGGGAGCCCGGTGCGTGCCCGGTGTGCGCGTGCTCGGTACGTGTTCGGTGCCCGCTGCGCGCGATCCCGGTGCGTACCCGGTGCCCGGTGCGATTCCCCGTTCCCAGTTCCCGGTTCCCCGGAACCGGTGCCCGGTGCGCCCCCGCCCCCCCCCCCGGTACCTGCCATGCTCCGCTCCCGCCGCTCCCGCCGCTCCCGCCTCCCCCCGGTGCGCGCGGCGGCGGCGGCGGCGACACGTGATGGGGCGGCCCCGGGCGCCCCGCCCCGCCCGGGGGGGTGAGGGGACACCGGCACCGGGCGGGGGGGACAGGGACAGCCCCGCACCTGCAGCACCGGGCGGGGCGGGGGGGACACGGCGACTCAGCCCCGCACTCAGACACGGACCCCCCCTCCCGGTGGGACCCCCTCGCTCCGGCCCCGGGGAGGGGGAGACACCGGCACCGGCACCGGGACCGAGCGGGGGGACAGGCAGGAACGCGCTGGGTTCGCCCCCGCGCCTGCCACACCGGGCGGGGGACGGGGGGGCTCCCGGCAGGGACCCTCGCACCGGGGAGGGGCACGGGGGGCACCGGCACCGGCACCGGCACCGGGAGCGTTACCGGGAGCGTGCCGGGGCCGCAGCCCTGCACCTGCTGCGCCGGGAGGGAGGGAGGGAGGGACACGGGGGCCCAACCCCGCACCGGGGATGCCCCGGCCCGGCCGGGACACCCGCCCGCCGCCCTTCGCCCCGGGCGGGGCCGGTGCCGGTGCCGGGAACTGCGGCGGCTCCTGCGCGGCGGCGGAGATGGAGCGGCCGGTGCCGCTGCCCCGGCGGAGCCGGCCCCGGGCCCGGCACTACTACGAGGGATTCGTGGATAAACGGGGGCCGCGGGATCAGGTGGGCGACACCGCCGGGACCGACCCCGGCGCCCCCGGGACCGACCCCGGCACGCCCCAGCACCAACACCCGGGACTCCCCGGGACCGAGCGCCAAGAGCGACCCTCGGGTACCCCGGACCGATTCCCGGGACCGCTCCCGGCACTCCGTCACGGTCCCCCCCGGGACCGACTCCCCGTGTCCCCGCAGCCGCCCGGGACCACCGGCTGTGCTCCCCGAGGAGCCCGGTGCCGGTTCCCCGTTCGTGGTGCCGATGCCAGCGCCGGCTCCCGGTGCCGGTTCTCAGTTCCCGGTTCCCGGTGCCCGATTCCCGCTGCCTGGTTCCCGGTTTCTGGTGCCGGTGCCGGTTCCCGGTGCCATTTCCCTGTTCCCGGTGCCATTTCCCTGTTCCCGGTGGCGTTTCTCGGTTCCCGGTGCCGTTTCCCGGTTCCCGGTGCCATTTCCCGGTTCCCGGTGCCGGTGCCGTTTCCCGGTGCCGTTTCCCTGTGCCATTTCCCGGTTCCCGGTGCCGTTTCCCGGTTCCCGGTGCCGTTTCCCTGTGCCGTTTCCCGGTTCTCGGTGCCGTTTCCCTGTTCCCGGTGCCGTTTCCCGGTTCCCGGTGCCGTTTCCCGGTGCCATTTCCCTGTTCCCGGTGCCGTTTCCCGGTGCCATTTCCCGGTTCCCGGTGCCGTTTCCCGGTGCCGGTGCCGTTTCCCGGTTCCCGGTGCCGGTGCCGTTTCCCGGTGCCGTTTCCCGGTGCCGGTGCCGGTGCGGAGCTGAGCCCGTCCCTCCCCGCAGGGTTACCGGAGGGTCTGGGCCGGGCTGTTGGGGCTCGAACTCGCCTTCTACACGGGGCCCCAGGACCACGAGGTACCGGGCACGACCCCCGGGACCGGGACCCCCGGGACCGGGACCCCCGCACGGGCTGTCCCGGCCGGGCCCGGGGGGTTTCTCCGGGCTGGGACCCCCGTGGGACCCCCCGAGGCTGGAGACACCCCCGGGCTGGGACCCCCTCAGGGTGGGAACCCATACACGGGACCCCCTCAGGGTGGGACCCCCATACCCGGGACCCCTCAGGGTGGGACCCCCATAGCCGGGACCCCCTCAGGGTGGGACCCCTGCGCCCCCTCCCCGAGCTGGGACCTGTTTGGTGGGACCCCCCCAGGATTGGGGACCCCTCTCCATAAACCCCCCCGGGCAAGAGCCCCCCGCGGATGGGACCTTCAGGTGACACTGGGGGGACCCTGGCTGAGCTGGGGGTGGCCCGGGGGGGCTGAGGATTGACGTGCTGGTGTCCCTGGGCCGGGGGTGGCACCCTTGGGTGCCCCCAGCCCCTGGAGCTGCTGGACCTGGGCGAGCTGGTGACCGTGCGGGCTGAGGACGGGGCGCTCGTCCTCAGGCTGAGGGGACAAGAGGTGACAATGAAGGTGAGGGGCAGCCACGGGGGGGCAATGGGGGCTGTGGGGGTACCTGGGGGCTGTGGGGGTACCTGGAGGGGGGATTTGGGGGTACAGAGGGGATTGGGGGCACAAAGGGGGGGGGTTTGGGACAGGGACCGCGGGAGGCACAGGGGACAGTAAGGGAAGGATTTAGGGACACAGAGGGGACAGGATTTTGGGACTGGGGGGCACAAAGGGGGGGGGTTTGGGACAGGGACCGCGGGAGGCACTGGGGACAGTAAGGGAAGGGTTTAGGGACAGGATTTTGGGACTGGGGGGATTTTGGGGTACAGGGATGCACAGGGATGGGGGGCTGTGGCATTTGGGGCCAGAGGACAGGGGACACGAGGGACAGGGGTCAGGCCACCCTCATGTCGCTGTGTCCCCTGGCAGATGGAGAGGTGGGACACGCAGGAGATGTGGCGGGGATTCATCCTGACCATGGCCAAGGTGGGCACGGGGCGCTGCCCGGGGGTCCCGGGGTGACAGGGACATCCCTGTGCCACCACCGCCACCACCGCCACCACCGCCACCACCGCCGTGTCCCTCCGCAGATGAAGGTGCCCCAGGACCTGGCGCTGCTGCCCGGCCACAACTTCCAGCTCCTGCAGGCCCTGCGGGAGGAGCGGGAGCGCAGGGACAGCGCCGTGTCCCCGGCCACCCCCGTGTCACCGGCCACCGCCGTGTCACCGGCCCCCCCCATGTCACCGGCCACCCCCGTGTCACTGACCACCGCCGTGTCACCGGCCCCCCCCGTGTCACCGGCCACCGCCGTGTCACCGGCCCCCCCCGTGTCACCGGCCACCGCCGTGTCACCGGTCACCGCCGTGTCACCGGCCAGTCCCGTGTCACCGGTCACCCCCGTGTCACCGGCCCCACCCGTGTCACCGGCCACCCCCGTGTCACCGGCCACCCCCGTGTCACCGGCCACTCCCGTGTCACCGGCCCCCCCCGTGTCACCGGCCACCGCCGTGTCACCGGCCACCCCCGTGTCCCCCAGCCCCTCTGAGCCGTGAGTCGGGGGGTCAGGGGCTGGTGGGGATGGGGTGTCCCCAAGAGGGAGGGGTGTCCCCAAAGGGGATGGGGTGTCCCCAAGGGGATGGGGTGTCCCCAAAGGGGATGGGGTGTCCCCAAGGGGATGGGTGTCCCCAAAAGGGAGGGGTGTCCCCAAGGGAATGGGGTGTCCCCAAGGGGGATGGGTGTCCCCAAGGGGATAGGATGGGGTGTCCCCAAGAGGGATGGGGTGTCCCCAATGGGGTGGGGTGTCCCCAAGGGGATGGGGTGTCCCCAAGGGGATGGGGTGTCCCCAAAAGGGATGGGTGTCCCAAAGAGGGATGGGGTGTCCCCAAGGGGGAGGGGGTGTCCCCAAGGGGGATGGGTGTCCCCAAGGGGATGGGTGTCCCCAAAGGGATGGGTGTCCCCAAAAGGGAGGGGTGTCCCCAAGAGGGATGGGGTGTCCCCAAGGGGGATGGGTGTCCCCAAGGGGATGGGGTGTCCCCAAAAGGGATGGGTGTCCCAAAGAGGGATGGGGTGTCCCCAAGGGGGAGGGGGTGTCCCCAAGGGGGATGGGTGTCCCCAAGGGGATGGGTGTCCCCAAAGGGATGGGTGTCCCCAAGGGGGATGGAGTGTCCCCAAGGGGGATGGAGTGTCCCCAAGGGGGTGGATGTCCCCAAGGGGGTGGATGTCCCCAAGGGGATGGGGTGTCCCCAAAAGGGAGGGGTGTCCCCAAGGGGGATGGGTGTCCCCAAAAGGGATGGGTGTCCCCAAAAGGGATGGGTGTCCCCAATGGGGAGGGGGTTCTATGCGAGGGGTGGCTCAGGTCCCCATGGGGTGAGGGGACACCCCTTTGTGTCCCCAAGGGGGAAGGGTCCCCTTGCGAGGGGTGTCCCGCGGGTGGGGGTGCCCCAGCAGGGGGTCCCCAGCCCTGAGGCGCCCCCCCGCAGGACCCCCCCGGTGAGGCGCTGCAGGGTGAGGAGGGCGGCCCCGGGCTCCGCCACCGACGTGGAGACCCCGGTGAGCGACCGGGGCTGGAGCCGGGCACAGGGACCCCCCGGCCCGGGCACCCCCCTCAGCCCCCCGGGTGGGACCCTTGGGGGCACCCAAGGGACTGGCACCGTGCGGGCACCAAGGGAATCCCGGGAACACCCAAGGGTGGCACCAAGGGTCCCCAGGGGGCTGGGGATCAAGGAACTGGGACCCCCAAAAAACGGGACGGGGAACCCCCCAGCTTTGGGATCCCCAAAAAAAGGGACGGGTAACCCCCACAGGTTTGGGATCCCCGGGAATTGTGACCCCCAAAAGAAGGGACAGGGAACTCCTCAGCTTTGGGATCCCCCAAAAAAAGGGACAGGGAAACCCCCCCAGCTTTGGGATCCCCCCAAAAAGGGACAGGGAACCCCCACAGGTTTGGGACTCCCAAAAGAAGGGACAAGGGAACCCCCCAGATTTGGGACCCCCGGGAATTGTGACCCCCCAAAAGAAGGGACAGGTAAGCCCCCCAGCTTTGGGACCCCCCAAAAAAGGGACAGGGAACCCCCAGCTTTGGGACCCCTGGGAGCCCCCCCGAGCCGGGGACACCCCAAAGAGCTGCTGCCAAGCGGGTGGGACCCCCCGGGCAGGAACGGGGGGCGCGGGGGGACCCCGAGCTGAGGCCGCGCGTGTCCCCCGCAGCGCTGCCCGGTGCTGGCGGAGGTGTCCCGGTCCTCGGGCCGGAGCAGCCCCGGCGGCCCGCGGCCCCCCGAGCCCGGGCACAGCGCCCAGCCGGGTGGGCACCGGGGCGGGGGGCTCGGGGGGGCCGGGGGCGGCTATTGGGGTGTCGGGAGCAGCCGCGGGGAGAGGGGGGGCTGGGGGTACCCGGGGGGTCTGGAGAGTTGGGGAGCAGAGAGGATGGGGTGTCACTGCCTGGGGGGCTCAGAGGGGTCTGGGGAGGGTCAGAGGGGTCTGGGGGTGCTCAGAGGGGTCTGGGGGTGCTCAAAGGGGGTTCAGAGGGGTCTGGGGGTGCTCAGAGGGGTCTGAGGGCTCTCAGAGGGGTCTGAGGGTAGTTGGAGTGGTCTGGGGGGGCTCAGAGGGGTCTGGGGGTTCTCAGAGGGGGCTCAGAGGGGTTTGGGGGTGCTCAGAGGGGTCTGGGGGCGCTCAGAGGGGTCTGGGGACACTCAGAGGGGTCTGGGGGGACTCAGAGGGGTCTGAGGGTGATTGGAGGGGTCTGGGGGGGCTCAGAACAGTCTGGGGGGCTCAGAGGGGTCTGGGGGGTCTCAGAGGGGTCTGGGGGTGCTCAGAGGGGTCTAGGGGGGATCAGAACGGTCTGGGGGGGCTCAGCGGGGTTTGGGGAGGTTCAGAGGGGTCTGGGGGCACTCAGAGGGGTCTGGGGGGACTCAGAGGGGTCTGAGGGGGCTCAGAGGGGTCAGAAGAGCTCAGAGGGGTCTGGGGGTGGTCAGAGGGGTCTCGGGGGGCTCAGAGGGGTCTGGGGGTGTCGGCTGCAGACGGAGGGTCTCTGACCCCCCTCTCCGCTGCAGAGTTCGTGCCGCTGGAGGGGAGCCCCCCCCCGCTCAGAGCCGCCCTGAGGAGGGGCAGACGAGCCCTGAGGAGGGGCAGAGCCCCCCCCGGCCCGGGGCCGCTGCCCGCGGAGCAGATCTACATGAACGACCCCGGTGAGGACCCCACACCGAGCCCTGAGCCCCCACCCACCCCCGGCCCCGCTGTCACCCCCCCAGCACAGCGAGGGGACACAAAGGGGACACGGGGGGTGCTGCCAGCGGCTCGGGGGGTTCGGGGGTTCGGGGGTTCGGGGGGTTCAGGGGGTTCGGGGGGGGGTCGGGGGAGGGGGATTCTCTGCCGGGCACTCACAGTTCCATCCCCCCCCCGCCCAGGGAGTACCCGGGAGCTGCAGGAGAAGCTGCAGCCGCGCCAGGCTCGGTGATGGGGACACTCTGGGGGTGCCCCCTGGCCCCCACTCTGTGCCAGCAGCCAGCAGGACCCCCCCTCCCCCTCAGGAAAACTGTCCCCAGTGTCCCCTGGCCTGTGGTGACACCGGGGAAGGAACCCCCTCATGTCTGGGGGGAGCACTGTAAATAAAGCACCTGTGCCCACCCAGCCCCTTCCTGCTCCGGCACCACGGGGGTGTCACAGGGACCCCAAAGTCCCCCCCTGTGCCCCATCCATGGCCAGGTCACACCTACATCCCGATTTATTGTCCAGGCCAGAAGCAGCTCTCGGTGCTGGGGGGGCACAGAGTGGGGAGGGGGGTGTGAAATGGAGATTTTTGGAGTTCACTTAACAAAATGAATCAAGCGTTTTCAATTTTAGCTCGTGGAATTACATATTGAATTTTAACCTTTCACCTAAGAAACCTTTGCCACAGTACAAAGGTCGCAGGAAAATACAAATTTCTGAAGCTTCTTGCATGAAGGAAAATAGCAGGGGAGGCAAAGAACCCAGACAAGGGGGGCTCGTGTGTCTCCAAGCTTATCAAAACTGACCGAGGTACTCAGATAAACACGAGAAAAGGAGAAAAGCTCAGAAGTTTCATAATGAAGAGCAAATCTTCAGCCTCAGAGCAGCAAACCCCCCCTGCCAAAAGGGCGTGGAGCCAGGGGTTGAATATACATGGAAAAGTGAATATATGTGTCATATATTGCATATGGAACATCTTTGGGAATAAAGCGTGGGTCAGACTGAGCTCGGGGCAGAGTTTTGGGAGAAATCTCTCACTTGTGCCAGGTGCTGCCATATGTACCCACTTCATAAATGTGTCATGTTGGGGACTTTATTTATTGCATTTATCGCTGCATTGGGGGGCGAGTTTCATTTCCCAAGAGCCCAAACCCAAACATTTGGGGTTTTTGAGGGCAGCAGCCTCCCAAAAACCCAAATGGCAGAACCGGTCTAGACCCGGTCCGGTGCCCCGATCCTGCTCCAGCTCAGCTTCGGCTGCTCCAACTCGGTCCGGTCCCGGTTCGGCTTCCCCCAGCCCGGGTCGGGGCCGGTTTCATGACCCCCAGCCCGGCCGAGTCGGGTCCCAACCCCCGGGTCCCGGTCCCGGTCCCGATCCCGGTCCCAGTCCCAGCCCCCGGTCCAGATCCGATCCCAGTCCCGGTCCCGGTTTAGCGGCCCCGCGCCCCGCCCACACCCGGAAGCTCCGCCCAGCAGTGCTCACAAAGCCCTCTGGGTAATGTAGTCTCCGTTTAACGGCGCGGCAAAGGCGTGGCGCTCCAGGACTACACTTCCCAGAAGGCTTTGCGGCGGGGGCATGGAGCGGGCAGAGACGGCGCCGCCTGGCGGCTCGGAGGACTCGGACCCGGGACACGGGGGGACACCGGCAGGGGACCGGGGACACCGACAGGGGACCGGGGACACCGACAGGGGACCGGGGACACCGACAGAGGACCGGGGACAGCGGGGACGCGCACGGAGCGCCAGCACCGCTTTGGGCAGCGGGGGAAACACGGCTGAGGAGGACGCGGCCGCGGGAAACTGAGGCACGGCGGGGGCACGTCCCGCGACCCCCGGAGGTTCACGCACCGGTCCGGTCCTGGAGCTGCGGGACCGGGGGGGCCGAGGCGAGGTGACCCCGCCGTGCCAAGCCCCGGGACAGCGGGAGCGCGTCCCGGGCCGTGTCCCCGGCAGGTGGCGGCCGCCGCCCGCCAGCAGCGCGGAGCTCCCCGCGTGTCCCCGTTTCCCCCGGCTGCGGGTCCCGGTGCACGGACCGAGCCGCCCCCGCGCGCCGCTCCGTGAATTGCCGCTCCCCGGTGCAACCCCCGCTCCACCGACAGACCCCCGCTGCAGCCCCCGCTGTACGGACCGTTCCTCGGCCCACCAAGCGACCCCCGCTGCCGCCCCCGGTGCACCGACCGAACCTCCGATCAAGGAACAACCCCCGGTGCACGGACCGACCCCCCGGTACAGCCCCCAGCTCCACGCACAAAAACCCCGGTGCAGCCCCCGACCCCCAGTGCAGCTCCGGTGCCACGGACCGACTCCCGCCGTGCAGCCCCCGTGCACGAACCGACACCAGGGACCGACCACCCGGTGCACCGACCGACCCCCGGTGCAGCCCCCGGTCCCACAGATCACCCCCCGGTGCACCGACCGACCCCCGGTGCAGCCCCCGGTCCCACAGAGTAACCCCCGGTGCACCGACCGACCCCCGGTGCAGCCCCCGGTCCCACAGAGTAACCCCCCGGTGCACCGACCGACCCCCGGTGCAGCCCCCGGTGCAAGGAACGACCCCCGGAGGGGGTCTCGGTGCCGCCCGCGGTGCAAGGAACGACCCCCGGAGCGGGTCCCGGTCCCACGGACCGACCCCGGCCCCCGTTCCCCCCCGTTCCCCCCCGTTCCCCCCCGGTTCCCCGTTCCCGGCCGGTCCCACGCCCGTCCCGGGGGGGGGCCGCAGTTTCTGGGCGGGGTTTCCCCCACGCTGTCCCCCCCTCCGTTTCACCCCCACGTGGGCCCCGCCAGCGGCTCCCAATCAGCGCCTCGCTCGTGGGCGGCTCCGCGCGGCGCCAGCCAATGGGCGAGGCGGGGGCGCCGCGCGATGCCCCGCCCCCCGGCGGGAGGCTATAAAGGGGAGCGCCGGGCGCGGCCGAGGCTCAGAGCGATCGCGGCGGAGCAGCGGCGGGAGCGGAACGGGAGCGGATCGCGATAGCGCCGCGATATCTCCGCGATATCCCCCGGTAGCCGCGCTCGGGATTATTGCTCTTGGAATTTGCTTTCTTCTCCTGCGGATTACAATTGCACCATGACCCTGGAGGAGCTGGTGCCTTGCGATAGCAGCAAGTAAGTGGCGGCGGCTCGGGGCGTTCGGCGGGGCGGGCTGTGCTTGTCACCGTCGCCGCTCACCGGTTCTGCCGTTCCTCCCGGCAGGATGCAGGCGGTGGGCGAGGCGGTGGAGCGGGTGCTGGTGGCGGCGCAGCGGCAGGACCGCCTCACCGTGGGGGTCTACGAGTCGGCCAAGCTGATGAATGTGTGAGTATCGCGATAGGGCTCTGTCGGGGGCTCTGTCGGGGGCTCTGTCGGGGGCTCTGTCGGGGGTGGTTCATCTCGGCCCGCTTAGAAAGGCTCTTGGTAGGAGCCTTTTACGGGGTGGTGAGCAGGCAGAATTTGGGGGATCTGCCCCCCGGTCTTAGCGCGACAGGGAGGTGACACGGGTGGGGGTGACAGCTCCGTGGGAGGGGGTCCCACCGTCCCGAGCTGTCCCCGGTCGCCCCTAACTCGCCGCGCCCCGCAGGGACCCCGACAGCGTGGTGCTGTGCGTGCTGGCCACCGACGAGGAGGACGAAGGCGACATCGCCCTGCAGATCCACTTCACGCTGATCCAGGCGTTCTGCTGCGACAACGACATCCACATCCTGCGCGTGTCGGGCATGCAGCGCCTCGCTGCCATCCTGGGCGAGCCCGAGCCCGGCTCCGAGCCCCGCGACCTGCACTGCCTCCTGGTCACGGTGAGCGCGGCGGGGACGCGCCCGGTGGCCCCGGGACTCGGTCGGGGAGGGGGACGGGGCGGTTTGGGGACACGTGTCGGGGCGCTGGTGGCACTGACATCCTTCTCCTGCTTCTCCAGAACCCGCACACCGACGCCTGGAAGAGTCAGGGGCTGGCGGAGGTGGCGAGTTACTGCGCCGAGAGTCGCGACAGGAACCAGTGGGTGCCTTACGTGTGTCTGCAGGAGCGCTGAGCCCTTCCCGGCCCCTTCCCGGCCTGCACTTGGAGGATTAAAAAAAAAAAAAACAACACAAAACAGCAGGAAAAAAAAAAAAGATAAGAAGAAGAAACAGCCACTTCCAAGCCACAATCCCCAAAACCCACCGATTTTATTTTATTTTTGGACCGGAGAGGAGGAAAGGGGAGCGCGGCCGCTGCGGTGGGAATGGAGGGAGCCGCGCCGAGCCCGGAGGGGGACGCTGGCCGGAGCCCGGGTGGACACTGGGGACAGTGGCCGGAGCCCGGTGGACACTGGGGGACACTGGCCGGAGCCCGGGTGGACACTGGGGACAGTGGCCGGAGCCCGGGTGGACACTGGCCGGAGCCCGGGTGGACACTGGCCGGAGCTGCCGGCCGAAGAGTCGGTGCTGGACCGGGGACCGGAGCGGAGTGAGCCCCGGGCGGGCGCTGCGGAGCGCGGGGGGTGACCCCGGAGTTGGACACTGTCGCGATTTTTGGCAGCTGGGACCCGATGGAGGCGAGGACTGCAGAGGGCTGGATTTTTAAATTTTTCTTTTGGTGCAAAAACTGCTTTTTTCAAGGAATTATGGACGTCTGCACAGATGGACCTGCACCCCCCGGGTGCTGCTTTTGCACTTGGAGACCCTGAGCTGAACCTTTTCCAGAGTTTATTCTTCTACTGAGCGAGGAACTAAATTTATTTGCAATAAAATGTCTGACGTTAGTGGTGTTTGCTCTTGCCTGTGCTCTGCTGGAGCCGTTCCCACGGGAGCAGGATCGGCGCCTCCTGGGTGGGTTTTGGGGTGGGCTCCACCTCCCTTAGGGGCTCTGCACGCGTGGGGGGGGGCCGGGGGTTCCCACCCGTGTGTGGCCTCTCTGCTGCTGCAGGAGGAGAAATTCCCACCCCACCCTTCTCTGAAAAAGGGGTTTTTTCCAAGAAAAACACCCACGAGGTGCCTTGAGCTCCGTGGGAAGCTGAGCACGCCCCCCCCCGCCCCGGGCTCGGAGTTTTCCCCCACCCGCGCAGAAACCGCGGCCGTGGGAAGCGGGCCCGGGGCTGCCCGCGGGGGTGGGGGGACCCCGAGGAGTCCCCGCGGCTCCGTCCCCTCCCACGGTGCGGTGGGGGAAGTTCCCTCCGTCCTCCGGGGGTGGGGACAAGGACAACCCCGAGGGCTCCGGGGAAAGTGGGGCCGGTGGGAAATGGGGACCCGCGGGGGCTCCCCGGGACCCACGGGTGGTGGTGAGGGGGGGATTGTCGGGGCGGCTCCGGCTCAGCTGAGGTGGCCGTGCCCCGTGTCACACGCGCGGTGTCACACGGGGTGAGCCGGAGCGGTGCCAGCCCCGGCAGGGCGCCAGCCCGGTCCCGCCCGCCCGGGACACGGTGACCGGCCAGCCCCGGTTTGGGGACACCGCGGCCAGCTCCGAGTGGGGCATGGCAGGGGACGTGCCCTGTGCCCTCCTTTGGGGTTTGGGCTGCGGGGGAAACTGAGGCACGGTGTGTGACAGCCCCGGTCGAGGCCACCGCAGCGTCACCCCCCGGTCCCAAGGGACAAGGGGGTGACAACACCCCCTGGGTGGCCCAAACTGCGACCCCCCCCCAAGGTCCCCGAGCTGTGGGGTGAGGGGGCGCGATGGGGTCGCGCTGTTCCCCGGGATCCTGCCGGGAAAATCCCAAAGGGAAAGGGCCCGAGGGCGGCTGAGGCCGCCGAAACTCGTTTCACTGATGAGCAGCGCGGTCACGAGGCCATTCCTGTCGCCGCTGTCACCGCGGCGGTGCCACTCGTGTGACC